GTATCCGAGTTGCTTATTAAGGACTAAATATGACTGAGGTCGTGTTCAAATCTAGCCCTTGGTTCCTTATCGAAAGATTCTCTTAACTTATGAAAAATGACTGACCTCTCAGAGAGATCTGTTTTGACACGCAGTGGAGTTTTCGTTTCTGATACCGTCTCCTTCAATGACTTGCTAACCAGCAGTGTTTTGCCTACAGCTTTTTTTTTCTCACTTCTTTTGTATGCCGTAGAACCTAGATGTGTACACATCTTATGGTACCACTTTTTACACTCATCGCACCACACTCCTTCCTCAACGGGGAACAACCAGTTTGGTTGTCCACATTCATAAGTCTTACTAACCATTGTAATTTACTAAGGATTCTCTTATGACTTTGTCACACATCCACATGCCTACCTGGTGGTAAACGTGATCCAGTGCTACAGGTCAAGGAGGCTCGTTGATCAGTCTCCTTCAATTCCGTTCACAATCACTTGGTACACTTGAAGACCGGCTCAGCGATGTTTTGTCGCGCCTTATTCAAATCTCCCAAATCATTGTTTACGATTGGGTGTACTGTGATGGTACGTTGTGGTCTCTCTAATTTCTTCCTTAAGTCCTCATCTCACAAGTCTTGGAATTCAATATATGAATTCACTGTTAAAGATATCAATGGTGTGGATGTCTCCCTAGAGAAATACCGGTTTGTTCGATATTCTTGTTCTATATAGGATGATAATTATTCGTTGTTTAGTGGTCACGTTTGTCTAATTGTTAACGTCGCTTGTAAGTGAGGCGCAACGGACAAGAACTATCGCCAACTCCAGGAGATGCACACTCGACTGGTTGGCAAAGGCCTCCGTATATTAGCGTTCCCCTGCAACCAATTCGGCGGACAGGTATGTAACACTTAAACCAATGCTATTTGCAGGAACCCTGGGCGGAAGCGGAGATTAAGAAGTTTGTGACTGAAAAGTATGGCGTCCAATTCGATATGTTTTCCAAGATAAAAGTCAATGGGTCTGACGCTGATGATCTCTATAAATTTCTTAAAAGTAGACTACATGGTACCCTAACAAAGTAATTGTTTTTTTCTTTAATAATGTCGTAGTGATATTAAGTGGAACTTCTCTAAATTCCTTATAGATCGTCAAGGCCAACCGCTTAAAAGATATTCTCCTACAACTGCCCCAAATGTGAGTTGCTGAATTTTCAATATTTCTATATTGTTATCAGTTCTGGCTGTCTAAATAGATAGACGTAACTTAAGATAAATTGACAAAATCAACAATCCACTCAACACACTACGATTTTTTCTTAATTGTCTAAGTATTTTGTTGTGTTGTTTCTTAAGTATGTAACTTTCAGTCACTTAATGGATGCGTTAACTTCCTCCCGTAACCTATAGTTCCTGTAGATTTGAAGCTGCCATTAAGAAATTTTACTCATTTGAATATTTAGCAGGTTAGTGACCTCGCTGAACATTAGTTGTTTAGATGATTTCATCAATTCGTTTCCAAACTAGTCTCACCTCAATAGTGTTTATACGTCAAGGAAACCAACCTGGACACAGGATATTACCTCACAGCCGGTACATGTTGATAAAGTTACCGGTTAATTGTCATGAATGACAAAATGAAACACCAACTTTAGTTACTTGTTAGTTTTATGGTACGTGAAATATAGTCCATCGCTGCATAGTTACTTCAGTTATTGGTCATGTCAAACTTCATAAATGAAATTCGAGTTCAAGTTAACTATCTTACATTGCACTATATGACGTCATAGACCAAACGATTTTCTAACTCAGTTCTGAAGTTATGAAATAGTTATCTGTACCGAAGAAACTAGAACTTCAGGAACGAACCTTCGTGTCTTTACTGAGTAACCTTACTTCACAATATTGTCATTTCGGTTTTGTATGTCTTGGTCTCCAATGTGACAGTCATTTTCTTCAATAACACTATTGGGTTAATAGACGTCCACACTCGTAACTGTTTGGATTGAACTTAGTTAAATGCTACGTCTATACAACTAGTTCTCCTAAAGTTTGGTTTTTCTCAGAAAACTTGTATATCGCCTTGTAATGGTCTGCAAGCCTGCAATTAGTCGTACATCAGTGTACTACAAGCACTAGGTATGATAATTACGGTTTGCGTGGGAGCGTACAAAACTTCTATATGGCAGTCTTCATCTTTCCGTTTCCTGGTTTAGTGACACCGGTTAGCGCGTTTAGCACTTGGATGTGTAGCGGTTATTGAACCATGTATCAATCCAAGCACAGTTTGTGTCAAGCAATAGTGGAATCCTCGACTACTGCAGGGTTCAAGGGCTAGGAATATCTAATTTCCTCACACTACGTAATTCATATATATTGTAGATCTAACTTATTACAAGTGATTTTTTTCTATTCATTTACCTGCCCTGCGTCTGTTGGGGCAGACTTATTGATTGATATTGGCGAGATAATCGCAAGCTATGATTACGTGGAGTAACCCACTTCTTGTCTGGCATCCGTAAATGATCTTTCTTCGATCTCACCTTTTCTATTTGTAATACATTTTTAATGTACTGTACTTCACATAGCGTTGACTCTGTAGTTTGTAATACTGATATGGAGTGTGGGAAATTGAACTAGTGTATGTCCATACCATACAATTCCTTGATTTTGACCGTCTACCGTATTAGGTGGTTAGTCTCAGGTACGATGCTTAATGTCTAATAGTGACAAAATTCATGAAACTGTCACAGATTTATCGATAAGTAATCACCTTTTAGTTTTAGGATTTCTGACCGAACTTTTAATTTTTTGTAGGATATTGTAGGAGATATCATGGAGCTTTTGGAAAAGAAGTGATCAATGGAATTTTTGAGCTTTGAACAAATTCTCGCTATATGACGATGGCAATCTCAAATGTTCACTGATTGCCATTTGATGAAATCAGTTTTGTGTGCACCTGATTGCAGAATTTTGTTTACCTTGCTCATATTTTTCATTGAAACTACTCAGAATAAATGTGCTATCTATAACTGAATGACTTGTACTTCACTGGACTTACTTACGAGTTAACTGAAATACTTCTCATCGCACTTACCAAGCAATTCTATTTCAGAAGTAAACAATAGCAGTTGGGCTGTTAAAGAAGCCGGTGCATGTTTGCGTTGTTTTCTTCTAAGCCCTTATTATTAATAAGAAATATCAGCCCTGTGATATGACAAAGTAGTCTAGTCAATCTACCCATCTGATCTTAGTGTAAGCTCTTTTTCTGAATGGGTCTTTAAACTGGCCTAACAATCTAAGGGTTCGTGCAAAGTATCTGAGAGATATACTTCCGTTTGTAATGTTAGAAGCGGATATCTGTCCTAACAATTGGTCTGAAACTTTATTTTGCTACTTTTATTTAACCGCATATTAAAAGACGTTGATTACAGCAAGAGAAATAAATTTCGAATATCACTAAGAACTCCATCGTCTAACTGTGCGTTGAAGGGCAGGCTACCCAAATATTGTCCGATTTAAGGCCGTGAACGTGATACGATCTTTGTACTATCAAAGTGGTTGTTATCGTTATTACAAAGAAGACAAAAGCCTGTATCTACACAGGTGTTAGTTTTGGGAATGGTGATATGACACAAAACCGACTTCGGGACGGCAAATGTTCAGGTTATATTAATTTACAGCACAGTTGTGGAGTCAGCGCCGTCGCCAAATTGAAGATTCTCGACAGCCATGTTCATTTATTGTTGGATTCGACAGCATTGCAGTCCGAGCAACCAAATACCTGGGAACATGGTACTGCGCACTATTTGTGATGTTATTAGTCGGAACACTCGTGTCTCTGGATGGTGGGTGAATTAGTGCCGACGGTGACATGGGTGATAAGGTCGACCTGTGTATAGTGAATGTCATATGAGTTTGTGTCAACCTATGGCACCGGTGCCCTCATGATGTTAGTCTGGTTGTAAAATGTCGGGTTCAAAACATCGATGGGATCAGTCTCGATGTATGATTTTTAAGCCCGACCCCTCCGAGTCGGTGTTAGATAACTCTGTATGCGGTCATAGTTGTCTGATGGATTGCTGACACTCAGTAGCAATACCATGTCGGTGATGCGGAGGTTCGACGAAGTCTAACTGGGTACCCGGTTACATAATTCAGTTGGCGTCACCATGTGGAGGAAAAGCTTCCGATGGCTCGGACATGTACAACAAATGCTGAGGCTGAGACCTATTAGAAAAGCGGATATGGAGCCCGGCTATGAAAGAAAGATGTATAAGACTGGCATCTGCTGATCCATCAGGACTTCCTGGTTGGGATTCCTGACGTGATACAACTCTGGCTTGAGGTGCTGTCAGACATGACAACCACTTCTGCTGATGAAGTCAATAGAAGTTATCAATGCACAACTATGGTTAAATTGGGCTATTACGTTCCCTGGACATCATTTATCAGCAGCACTTAGTTCAAATAAGGCGACATTTCTAAAGGGTTCAAAACCACAGGTTGTTGTTTAGGTGTCAATGTCAAGGTTGGACTTGATAGTTTCAATTAAATACAGCATTGAGTAGAAAGTTAATAATAAATATGTTTTTTGTTATTTCCAAATGAGTAGAAAACTGTATTTCCGACGTTTTGTGACTCAATATTAATCCACTTCTTCAGAGTAAATAACCAACCGAGAAAAGATTAACACAACTCTAAATAATACAAAGGAAATAACCCCATGTACTGTTTAAACTTGTGTTAATTACATTTCGGTTATTTATTTACTGTGAAGAAGTGGCTTACATTAGATCACGAAACGTCAAAAATACAATTCTCTACTCATTGGGATATTCACAAGAAATATACCTATTATCCAGAGGTTATTTTTTTGTTTGAGTAATTCTTTGTGTATTTTAGAGAATAATTTTCTTAGTTATTCTTGAACGTATTGATAATAAATTGAAGTACATATTATTTTATCTGCATGCTCCAATGACCTCGCCTTTTCATTGTGTAAAAAAAGAAAACAAACTAACTATGTGTACTTATATTTACAGAGTAAACACAAGTCTTAATTATTGATTTGTCAAGTATAAATATTATGTACTTTTTAATTAGATAAAACTATTTTTATGCACATTAATTGCTCTTATAATTTACATGTTAGAACACACGCACACACACACTGTCACTAATTATCTGCGTTATTTAATGCATTTTAACAAGTACAAAATATATTGAGATAAAATGAGATAATCATCATATTCATAATCAATCAATCCATAATCAAATTGTTGTTATGATCAGTCATTCAAAAAACAAAACAACTATACAAACCCGACAATATCATGTTGGTATATGTTTGTTAATAAATCTGAAAAAAAGACAGAAAAAAGAAGTATTTTGATGAAGATTGAATTTCATCTAGTATAAAATATTTATCATTATTAATTCACTTTACCAAGAATATGTTCTATGTACTTTATCATAAGCTACAATTTGTGCATGTGTTCACACATACAACAGGGTAGTAACACTTACTAACTGACTACTTAAACCATAGAGTCATTCAAATCCATGGCTTTTAATGATTAGAAGTTAGATTATTTAACCTTTAAGTCATTGATTTACTTGTAAATTCTAATCAAAGTAACGGTTTATTGTTTATATTAAATATTGTTTAAATCTATGTTGATTCAGCAATATACTAAGATTAGTAAACCAGGTATATTTCATGTGTTAAATGTGTCTTGATTGTGATAACTAGCACATGATTTTGAATTTCAAACATTTTAATATTCCTTGGTTAAATATATACTTGAAACAATGTGCATAGGTGATTAGATCACGTGGACACTAAGTTAGAAGATATCACAAAATTGACAAGCTTAGGAGTTCCTCAAACAGTAATGAGAGTTTCGTAATCATCATCAGATCAGATTAAAAAACAATAAGCACCAAATTAAGTAAAAATTTTCCACTTCTGAAAAATAGTTAATGCTGCTGGACTACTGTACATACCGTCCGCAGTTAGATTTTTAAGATTTATATCGAATCTCACAATATGAATTGGTGGTATTTTACAATAGACAAACAGTAGTATTTACAATCTTGTACAAATCTTGAGAATATGTGTTTCACATGAAACACTGATGGAAAAACGTGACTTTAATCGATAGTTAAGATCTATCATTTTGTTTCAATTGTCATAACGTCAATAATATCTATATTTACGCTAATTATGACTATAACAACATGATACAAACTGACTGCTGAAATTTATAATACAAATGAGCTGGGAGTATTTCAGGGCTTATGAACTATATAACTTTATTCCTCGATTGTTTATGGTCATTTATTTTCAGATGAGTAATATTAAGTTAAGTCATGGATGTTCTTAGCTACTCTACTAAATCAAAAACACTACGCATTTTCGCAATTCAAATACACATACACACCAAGAAATAACGACACTGATCAAGTGGCAACAGATGGATTATTTTTGCTTTGAGTTATGCGCAAATTCGTATAGATATTTGCAGATTTATACCAAGGACTGGCTTTATCTAAACAACCAATGAAAACAAGGGAACTAGGAACAACTATTTTGTCCTATTGTGGGACTCATCGACCGTATCTATCTTGTCTACCACCCCACTCACAACTATATCGGGTGTGAGACAGATATCACCAGTGAGAATGGGTGATGGCCATGCAATATCTCAAAATATGGATGTAAATTACGAAGTAGAAACTCAGTGGTTTGAACATTAAGCGATCGCTGCTAACCTTGACGATCACGGGTTCGCACCCCTGAGGGATCGCGGATACAAACTACTGGCGAGTCCCTTACCCTAACGAAATACCTTCCAACTGCTTCCTGGTTACCAATGGTCATCCAACTGAAGTCGGTTCATGACAAAAAATTAGAATTTTCAATGTTCTCTAAAACTCTTATACAATCGTGAACATTTAATTCACTAATATTAAAGATGATGTTATACGGTACAGGAATGGAGTCTGACTGATTGCCTAGTGACCATCAGTTTCATGTCGTTTTAGTTGAGTGTCGATCACAATAATAATAGTTTGAACTCCCCAATATGCATTTACATGATCGCTCAGTAATATTGTTTCAAAACTTATGTGGTGTAAATTTGATGATAAGTCAATTGTCCGGTCACCTCAGTTATATTTAGTAATAGTGGCAATCAACATAGTCGTTATGGCAGAAGACAGTGGCTTGAGAGTGTACGAGTAAAAGCAGGTTACATTGCATTTTAATTGTCAATTCCACTTGCATCTTTTACCTCTATTTCCTTCTCATCCGGTTCGTTTTGTGTACTACATCATGTTACTCACTAATATTCAGTAGCTAAAGGCATTTTCAATCAATTTTGTACATAAGAAGCATATTATCTCTTCGTTGTTGAGTTGAATTTATGGATATGTTACATAAACTTGTGACTTTCAGTCAACTTATTGTTACAATTGTGACAGTTACTTCGATTTCTTGTTTAGTCATCAAAAATTTGTTACGGCATGATAGTTTCAGTATTTTGTGCTATTAGTACTCGTTTCGATTGTTGGTTGCACTGTGGTATTGACAAAACTACTGGCTATCAAGTAGATTATCGTATGTTTTGGTAAATAATCCCCGTACAGCTATTCCAAGAACCTCTTCATCTCTGAATGCATATGCACGCGGTAAGCACCATAGAAACCTCATGTACTGAGGCTTGTAAATATATTTCTTATATTGTCATTATTAATACTACCGTATTTTACAAAAAGCTACTGTTTTCGTTTCGGGGTTTTGACACATCACTTAGTCGTTTGGTCGGAAACATCAAGCGAAATTAACCGTAATATTTTCGATTAAATAAAAATTGAGAACAGTTACGTCACATTAACTTCACTTACTGTTCTGAAAATGATCAAATAAATATTTCAAGTTATACAACGCATGCTTTTCTGGCGTCAGATATAAATTAAATCTTGAACCCAAAGACATGATGTTACGCTTTAGTATGCAAATTGCTTGGCTGTAAAAAGCAAGATGAGATTACAAGGGAATATTTTAATACAATAGTGAGTGTACGTGGTTGTTCCATATCTTAATTAAATCTACAAAGTTTAACTCTGTACATAGGCAAACAGTATTAATCGACATTACGAAAGTAATAGAGCAAGAATAAATGTTACTTCCACATAACTCTATGAAGGATTCGACAGAAAACTCGATCACTAGTTCCTTATCGCTCTGTAAACACGATGCCATTGAGTAACTAGGTCAAAATCCAATGGCCTACATAACCACTTTAAGTCAATCCTAAAGCGAGAAAGCCCAAACTTTATCCAATTTCATCGGTAGATTGTCGCCTTACTCTTAATCTGGTTGACTCGCGCGTGTACCATAGAAAGTACACAATGATAAGTTTTTCGATAGAACAATGAGAAGATCGAGTTGATCTGAGAAAGGCGATGTATTTGCACTATACATTTCGAACAGTCTGGTCACACATATACTTGTCAGAGCATTTTATATTATTATTATTAATATGCCTTGACAAGTATCTGTGTGACCAGATTGTTCGAAATGTATAGTGCAAATACATCGCCTTTCTCAGATCAACTCCGTCTTCTCATTGTTCTATCGAAATTTATAAAAGGGACCAATTGCTTTAGATAAGTTTTTCCTTTGAAACTATGATGAAGCGACTATCCAGTGCTCAATTGTTTATCATGGTTTCCTCAATAATGTTGCGTCATGATGGAGATCACTCTCGAACTAATCTTATGCTGTGTGTAATCAGTAATAAAAGGACAAGACAAACATGATATTAGTCACCAATCAATTGTTAGTATTTGAGTTCTACAGTGGAGTAGTTGCAACCCAAATAGCTTAGTGGCAACGTTTCGAACGATCAAGTTAGGTGACACTTGTTTGGATACCGAAGGAGGCATCAGTTCTTTCACGATTGGAGATCTACCATGTTGACGAGCACCAACTATCAGGAAACCTAGTTAGACGGTTTCCTGTCGACTATCTTCAACCACCTAACTTCTCGAAATAACATTTACTTATTAAAAGTACAATTGGTCCCATACTTAACAAGTCCTATATTTATTCTAAAATAATTCCTAAATACTACATTGTTCAAATACTAAAAATTTGTAATAAAAATAAAGTTAATACTTACCAACGATCTGATTGAGAAATATCACGAGTGGAAATATCCAACAGTTTTAACTTGGGATAAATTTCAACAAAATCTCTAGGATAAATTATTGGTTGGTCAAGAATTGCAGTGATCAAAGTAAACAAATGCATGGTATAAGCAAAGCATGTGGGCGATGTAAATGTTTCAATTCCATAGTTTATATAATGAATTGGATTATTATTATTATTATTATTGTTATTATTATTATTATTAGACAATTCTATGCCATCCAATGGAACTGAAAAAGGCTCATTTATATGAACGTAATCATTGGAAAACTTATCCATGAATTTATCATTCTTTGCTGTTACTGAATTCTGGAACACAGTAAAACACAGATCAGAAACAAATTAATCGCTGATTGGGACATTTACTTTATCCATTTATCAAATATCAACTAACAATAATTGACTAGTAAGGACTGTGCAATTGGAAGACTATATTGTGCCAGAAACTAATAATTAAAAGTCAAGCAACACAAATCTTGATCTTTGATTTTATACAATTGATTTTAAATTTAACAATAGTTAAATAATAAATCCATTAGAAATTGGATATTTATGTTTTGTCATTTTGTTTCCAATATTTGTCGCCCTTTGTAAATATCATTTAAAATTTATGTGGAAAGAGAACAGTATGATATAACTTTTTGTTTAGGAAAAAGGTACTAAAACTCCCTTTACTAGTGAGTACACCAAGTTGGTACACTAAAATTTTAAACAAATGTGCTTTCAATTGATTGGTCGCTGAGTATTAATAAATGTGATGTTTATCTAGTCGTTGTAGTGATCAGTACTCAATGATCAATCAGTTGTAACTATTTTAGTCCCACTGGAGGTCAGTCGCAGTCCAAATGACTCAGTAGTAACATCTCAGATCATGAAGCCGAGTGACATGTGATTGGATCATCAAGAGAGTATTAATTCCATCAAGATCGCAGACACACATTGCTGAAGAGTGCCGAAAAGCACGAAATCCAGGTCTAGGATATCCTAACGACTGTATCCAACCACTTAACAAGTATATACTTTGTAAATATACGCATTAATGTACATATATATTCTTTTATTCCAAGACTTCGTGATTATTGGGTTTCGTTAGGACGGAATATAAATGCAAGACTACTTTTCAGGTTAGTGTGAATTTTGTTCAGTATGAAGTTCGTTTTATTTCACTGTAAGATTTTGTTCAACATATTATTCAATTTATAACAGTTTAGGAAGTATGCATTAGTAGTACGATCTTTCCGAGCAACAGTAATACTACTAGCTAAAAAATACTTTTCTTATCTAATAAAATAAAATATTCATATGCTGTTTTATCCCGATAAGAATAATGAATAGTAATTTTTGGGATCCATTTGTAGTGACCTGCTTTTACCAAGAGAACGCGATTGATTTAATTGAAACAATTATTATTATAACCAATTGTACCAGTGATTGTTTTACTGTGCTCGTTTGTTTAACTGTGCTAAAGACAGCCATATTACTACTCCATTGATTGCGACCTTGCACGGGTTCGGTTACGCTCGGTAACCACGCTTGTACTCCTTTGGCACGATCTCGGTATCCTTTCAATACCACGAGATCGCCAACAAATACATCTTGACTACAGCCATCAACTGCCTTCTGATATTTGGCTTACGGGGGATCCTATCAGTTAACTGGCACGTAGTCTTCTTGTAGTGGTGTTCATAGTCAACCGCGACTCGACTCCACGTTTCACATTTATGGGCCAATACTATGAGTATATTTTAATCGTGTAATTGTTATGTAACCAAACTGTTCATATTCATGACCCTCTTATTATGAGTTTTATTTCGACCTATGAACTGTTGTTATACGATTTACCATTCTTGAGTTATGGCCTGTCTGTTAATCACCACCTCCCTCATTTACAGCCACTTCTGGCTAAATATTGTACAAATGTTATTTTCTATTTTATGGTACGTTGTGGTCTGTTTGATTGGTGTATAAACCCTGTATGTTTGAAATAAATGATTTATATTGCAAAAGTTGAGATTTTTGTTCTGTACTCAACTGGCTGGGCTAGGCGGAAAGCGAGACCAATACGGACTCCAGGTTGCTCGTACGTGTTTTGTACGTCACTGGTTCGATCGATAATTCGCTGCTCTGTGATTGGCGAAATCGTTGCGATATACAATAAACGGGGCACACAGGTCCACAAGTTATAACATATGCTAAATACTAAACACAGAAATTAACATGATTATAAGTTAGTTAAAACGTGGGTGAATGTTAGATTCGAATTTCGTAGGTCGATTAACAAATGTTAATAAACTAAAAGCTGACTATCAAGCTAAATTCGTGACCCCAGATATATCAAAGTTGTCTTTCAGTCATATTTTTAAATATTAGAACAAATGCATTTCGCCCAAGTTTTTAAACAATTATTTTGTCGAAATGATTTTTAAAGATATATTTTTCTCTAAATTTCTTTTAAGTCATATTGTATGATAGTAGGAGTTTCAATTGATGGAATGGTGTTATGAAAACTTTTAATTATGTGTTAAGTCGTTTGTTACTTGTTGAAGTGGAGAATTTTATATATGCGTAAGTAAATTTTCCATGAACTTGTGTCGTCTGCTTATTTGGATCGTTTATCCAACAACCGTTATGTTGAACAGTCTAGTTGACTAGGAATACTCTTCTTATGATAAAGAAATAAGATACACGTGGCTAGAGGCAATGGTAAAATATTTTATGATTTCTTTAACGTGTAGCGTGGTGTCGAGTTGAGGTTACTTATGAACACCGCTACAAAGAAACACGTTTCAAGTAGATCAGAAGGCGTAGGTTGAACGTAACCAAATAAATCCATAAAATCCCCGAGAAGCCAAATATCAGAAGGCAATTAATGGACCAAATCGAGATATATTCGCTGGCGATCTCGTGGTATCGAAAGGATACCGAGATCGTGCCAGGATACAAGCTTGGTTACAGAACGTACCCGAATTCGCGCGAAGTCACAATCAAAGTGTAAGTATATGAATGGAAGCACAATATAGCTGTCATTAGCACAGTCAAACAAAAGCACATTAAAACAAGCACTGGTACAGTTGGTTATAATAATAATTGTTTTTATTAAACCAGTCGTGTTCTCGTGATAAATGTGAGTCACTACAAACTGATCACCTAATGGTTTATTTACACCGGTTTCAAGAGTAATTTCTATTTTCATTCAACTCATTTACCATGTATACGGATTTGTACACCAGGGTTCGAGCCACATTATATGTATAAGAGCTAGTTATATTACTCGGTCCCTCAATCAGGATTAGTTGGGGCGGAGTTCGCACCTGAGATTTAGTGACTAGAAGTCAAACCCCTTAACATTTGCATCACTACACCACCTTCAGAAGTAAAAGATGGAATAAATTACCTAAGAATCAATAGTCTTAATTCCGATTTATATAAGTGTTTTTTCATAACATATCCAGTTTATTTTTTAAGAAGGTCATTCGTAACTGATGAAAAGCTATATTAGAGGACAATAAACAAAATTACCAACTAAGCACAAACTATGTGGTATCAGCGAGATGTGAGAAACCTCATCAATGAATCAGTATGGCTATTACCAGTTCACTAAGATAAACGTTACATCTGTTGAAAGTAGACATAAGAATACTAAACAAATTTGATCGAAGGAGTTTGTCAGATGCTTTCCTTAGAAATGCGAGGGAATATGTTAGTGGAGAGTTTTTATGTAGGGCTTAAAGCTTTAAACAAGCAAAGGTAGGGGATTTTGTTGATGAGATTATGTAAATAGGTTCACTGAACGATAATTGGAATATGCTGCATATATCCATATTTATTATTGACATGTGTTGTATGTATGTAGTGCCTAAAGTGTTCACATGGTATAATAAACTGAATCATAGATTCTGATAACTTACGTTCATTTCATATGACACAATGACAATAATAATAATTATTATAATGGCTTACTATAATGCCGTTTGAGTTAAGTTCTTCACCAATGTTGCACATTGGATTTATTAAATCATTGGTAAAAAGACCATAAACTTCATTTAATAAATGAAGAATACGAGTCAACAGTGCGTAACGTGTTTTGCTGAGGTCATTACTGTGAAAAAAAGAGAGACACGCGTCAAGGAAAACAAATCGATAATAGTATATAAATAAATATGTTAGAAATCCAGGGAGGTTAGTTGAAAAAGTGATATCAGTCCATGATGTTATTGTCAGTTGAAATGAGCACGCGTTAGTAGATGCAGACTACCTGATTGGGATCTTTGTAGTTGTTGGAATTAATGATTGAAGATGTTGGATGACATAGTTCAGAACCGGTCACAATGCTGCAGATGTATTGATTTTTTGTATCCCGTTAGTTTTTTGTGGGGTTTTGTTCTCTGAGCTGGTCGTGGAGCTTCTATCGTTATTCTGAACATCATCAGCACAAGCTTCAGGCAGAAGTGAAGTGTTCGAATTTCTCCGTATATGACTCACAGCTTGTCCTGTAGAAGTCGATCTTGATTGTTTATTTCATTAGATCTTATACTTTTTATTTCATGAATTCTTATTTTCTCAAATAATATCATTTATGTCCACTCTTAGTTACTACCACTAATACTGCGATTACTTATACTACTATGCTTCCTGGCTATGCTGATATAGTGTGGCAACTTAAACCGATACACAAATACTCCAGGTTATACTTTCAGTACGACTGGTTTAGCTGACCTTAAAAATCAGTAGTATTAACAATAAATAAATAACGATGACAATGACATTTAAGAAATCCTGTGAATAGAACAGTAAAAAGAAACTTCAAAGTGTTGTATAGACTTAAAAGTGTCCCTGATTATATGTTTTGATAGTTGGGAACAACTATTACCAGCATTGACTACATTAGTAATAGATAAAGTCAACCATTTCTCTACTTTTCACCTTTACCGAAAACATAAGGAAAGTCAATTTCCGACTACAAGATATATTTTGGATTCAGCGAAAATTTGATTAGGAGAAGTAGCCGTTAGATGGTGGTTGGAGGTAGTCAACAGGAAACCCTGGACCCGGGTTTCGTGCTACTTGGCACTCGTCAGCAAGGTGTACCTGTAATCTTGAGGGAACTGGTGCTCCCTGGCCAGGTTCGATCTCGTGTCACCCAGCTTCACAGTCAGAGACGTTACCACTGAGCTATCCGAGCCGTGACTAACCTCCTGTAGGACTGAGATGTAATCACAATTGATTGATCACTGTTACACCTTGCTGACGAGTGCCAAAGTAGCACGAAACCCGGGTCCAGGGTTTCCTGTTGACTACCTCCAACCACCATCTAATCTCATTACATAGTGCCCGCAGTGTCGAGTCACCTAGACTGGTGGCCACATTGCAACATGATCGATAGCATTCGATCTGCATTAATAAGGACTAGACAAGCATGAGATTGATCACCACCCAGTGATCAATCAATTGTGAGAAGTAGCCGTTGTTTATAAATATATTTACGATCTCTCCCAGGTCAACAAAGTAAAATATTAGAACATCAGGAAACCAATAAACAGAGGAAATATTTAGTATCGGTAAAAATGAAAGACACAGTGTGAGAATTTATTTCGGGAGTAGGCTAATTTACAACTTAAAAATAATAAGTCCTATAAATAATTTTAATGATCTGACTACCCATGACTCTTGTTGGTTGGTTTCTAAAAACGTTACATTCTAAACAAAAAAATATACTCCCAACAAGGGATTCTCTATAATCTGTACAGGTAATTCAACAGATGATCAAATATTTAGATTTCAGTGTCTATTTATATCCAGTATACAAATGAAAAGAAACTCAAGCAGAATCAAGGTCAGGAAACAATTTCATGAATGATCTTCTTTAGTTTTCAATTCAGTTTCTATAAACTAAAAATTTAAATTAGTATTTCAGTTTATTCATACATATAAAAGTGGTAACAGGTATGCTCGACAATAATGTAATGCCACATTTTTTAAGTATATTAAACAACTTACGGGTTAATATTGACTTGAAAACTGGCTTATCATCTCTGATTAGTATTTGGTAAGTTTATTGTTAAACTTTATATACCTTTTTTGTATTTTTAGAATTGAATTTACACATTTTACTTATGAAATTAATATATCTGACCGAGTATTATTGCTCGAAATATTTACATTACAAATAAAGATGCCTACATTATGCCCTAAATATTTCTTTGACCCAGGCCTAAACCTTGAGTCCACCAAAGAAAGCAAAAGTTTCATTACCAATCCAACCAACAACGATAAAGTGAAGAAAATGTGGATATCCATAAAAGTTTCTGACACATACTTTAGAAATACACGTTAGTGTCAACAGCCTTGGAGTATCAAATTCAACTACACGTGAGCCGTTTAATAATTTAAAATAGCAATTAAAAAAGCACTCATTTAGATTGAATTAAATCATATTTCTGAGAAATAGAGCGTTTTAGAAAGCTAAATTTTTGAACTAAAGATTGAATAATTTTTTCAGCTTATAATGGTTTTTTATTCACCAATAAACTCCTTCATTGAAATATCTTATTGACTAAACTTACACAACTGATATGCAAATTGTTGCAATTCTTTCATTTTTATTGACGGCAGGCACACAGTTTTAGCAATTTTATTTCAACGGATCAATCTTTTAAAATGAAAAACAGGTATATACATATATAAGATTGGTCCACCTGGTCACCCGCATTTTACGGAGATTCCATGCACCTGTATTAATTGTTGCTCTGGTTGTTAGAAAGGAATCGGCCTTGTGACTTCCAAAGAATCTCGGCTTTCACCATGAGGCATCATAATTTTTCTAAATAAAGATCAATCGAGATTGTTTTCTCTGGTTAACAAGATTGTTTTCAGTGGGATAGGGTTGCCGATCTAATACAAAACCCTCCTCATTCATCCGGCCTGGAAACTGGTAGTAAACCCAGAAGAGCTACAGGTGGAGTGCACAGACCGGATAGTAACACTACGGATCACTATTGAGCAATCAACTGAATGGAACTCGTCATTATACATCAACATCCTTGACTATGAGAAAACGTTTGACAATGTGGATAGAACATTATGGAAACTTCTTCGACACTATGGAGTACCTGAGAAAATTGTCAACATCAACCAGAATTCATACGACGGACTACACTGCAAAGTGGTGCATGGAGAACAACTGACGGTTGCATTGCAAGCGATGTCAGACAATGCTGCTTGCCTTCTCTCTTTCTATTTCTCCTGGTGGTCGATTGGATTATGAAGACCTCCATATCTACGGGGAAGCACGGAATACAATGAACAACTTAGATGAAGCTAGACGATTCCGACTGCGCAGATGACCCAGCTCTTCTATTCCATACACACCACCAAATGCAGATGAAGACAACTAGTGTAGCAGCAGTAGGCTTCAACATACATATGGCAAAAAGCAAGATCCTCAAATACAACACAGAGAACATCAATCCATCTTACTTTATGAAAATAGAAGCTTCCACGTACCTGAGAAGCATCATTGATAAACAAGGAGGATCTGATGCAGACGTAAAGGTAAAAATCGGAAAAACAAGGGTCGCGTTCCTATTGTTGAAGAACATATGGAACTCAAAACAACTGTCAACCAATATCAAGGTCAAAATCTTCAATACAAACGTCAACACAGTTCTACTGTAGGGAGTTGAAACTTGGAGAACTTCCACAGCCGCCATCAAAAAGGTACAAGCATTTCTAAACAATTGTCTAGGGAAGATAATGAATTTCCGTTGGCCGGATACCATCAGCAACAGCCTACTGTGGGAGAGAACACTGGAAGTGGATAGGATACACATTTCAAGAAGTTTATGCTTACTAAGAATAAGCCATTGTCTGAAGTAGTTATCGGAGAGCTGAGACACTGAAATTTGCACAAGAGTCTTTCATTTTAGTCTACACTACATATTTGGGTATTACAATACACTGCTACAATAATATCTGACCATTTGACTTTTGAAAGGAGAGAAAAGAATTTTCTGTAAAACCCATCTTTTACTTCAGAGGAACTGTAGTCAGGAGTTTAGACAGAAACTCCTTCGTTTGAGTGAACTGTAATTGAAAGCTGCTGTTACGAATTAGGTAGTAAAGGTTCAAGATCCAGAGTTTTATACGAAATTTCCTGTGAGGCTTAATATTAAGATTTACAATATTTCTAAATTTCTCGGTAAAATAATTTATACAAAAAAGATGACAGAATGATTAAACAAATACAACGACGTAAATAAGTGGACACGCCAATAATAATGATAATACTTACTATCCATCCTTTAAAGATTGTTTTAAAACTTTCAACCGGCTATTGATTGCTGCTTTATTTCCATTTATATTTAGGAATTCCTGTTCTGTAAACAAATATTAACAAGTTACATATTACTCAGAAGATAATAATATCTTCATTTCTCGATTAAATAAGATCTTAAAAGTATGTAGAGTTACTCTGTTAAAATACTGTAAGTTACATATTAACTTGACAAGCAATTATGTATCATCGAGAGTACATAAAGATACAAATTAACTAAGCATTAATCAAAATTGTCACAATTCATAGCCACAAGATAATATGAATTTGACGAAACGGGATGAGGAAAATGAAAAACGAAAACAAGCAAATCCGTCCATGAACACCTACTTACTTACGCCTGTGAAGGAGCATAGGCCGCTCACCAGCATTCTCCATCCAACCCTGTCCTGGGCAATCCTTTCTAGCTCCGTCCAGTTGTAATTCATCCTCTTCATATCTGCTTCTATTATCCGACGTAATGTGTTCTTTGGCCTTTCTCTGTTTCGCTTCCCTTCAGGATTCCAAGTTAGGGCTTGCCTCGTGATCCAGTTCGACGATTTGCGTAATGTATGTCCTATCCATTTCCATCGTCTTTTCCTAATTTCTTCTTCAGCTGGAAGTTGGTTTGTTCTCTCCCACAGAAGGCTATTGCTGATGGTATCCGGCCAATGGATGTTGAGTATCTTGCGTAGACAGCTATTTATAAATACTTGTACTTTCTTGATTGTGGTTGTTGTAGTTCTCCAAGTTTCAGCTCCATACAGTAGAACTGCCTTGACGTTCGTATTGAAGATTCTCACTTTGATATTGGTTTAAAGTTGTTTTGAGTTCCATATGTTCTTCAATTGTAGGAATGCGACCCTTGCTTTGCCGATCCTAGCCTTTACGTCTGCATCGGATCCTCCTTGTTCATCGATGATGCTTCCCAGGTATGTGAAGGACTCTACATCTTCCAGAGTTTCGCCATCAAGTGTGATTGGATTGCTGTTCTCCGCTTTGAATTTGAGGACCTTAGTTTTTCCTTTGTGTATGCTGAGGCCTACTGATGCAGAGACTGTTGCTACACTGGCTGTCTTCATCTGCATCTGTTCGTGTGTACGTGATAGGAGGGCTAGGTCATCTGCGAAGTCCAGATCGTCTAATTGGTTCTGAGCTGTCCATTGTATTCCGTGTTTTCCTTCAGATGTTGAGGTCTTCATAATCCAGTCGACCACCAGAAGAAAGAGGAAGGGAGAGAGTAAACAGCCTTGTCTGACTCCGGTCCTTACTTGGAATGCATCTGTCAGCTGTCCTCCATGCACTACTTTGCACTGTAGTCCGTCATATGAGTTCCGGATAATATTGACAATCTTCTCAGGAACTCCGTAGTGTCGAAGAAGTTTCCATAATGTCCTCCTATCTACACTGTCGAATGCTTTTTCATAATCAATGAAGTTGATGTATAGTGATGAGTTCCACTCAACTGATTGTTCGACGATGATCCGTAGTGTTGCAATTTGGTCTGTGCACGACCGATCCTTACGGAATACAGCTTATTGACCTCGAAGTTGGGCGTCTACTGCATCCTTCATTCGGTTCAGCAACAATCTGTTGAAGACTTTCCCTGGTATTGACAGTAGCGTAATGCCTCTGTAGTTTTCGCATTTGCTCAGATCTCCTTTCTTTGGAATCTTGACAAGGTGTCCTTTTTTTCAGTCCATCGGCACTTGTTCCTCCTCCCGAATCTTTTTGAATAGAAGATAAAGCATGCTTGTGGTTGCTTCGATGTCTGATTTCAGTGCTTCAGCTGGTATGTTGTCGGGTCCTGCTGCTTTCCCGTTCTTGATTTGTCTGACGGCCATTCTAATTTCTTCCGTAGTTGGTGGATTGACATCTATAGGAAGATCTATGTGTGCTGCTTCGATGTCCGGTGGATTCATTGGAGCCGGCCTATTCAGGAGTTCCTCGAAGTATTCTACCCATCTGTTACGCTGTTGTTGAATTTCGGTGATTGGCTTGCCTTCTTTGTCTTTGACCGGCCTCTCTGGTTTACTGTATTTCCCTGCTAGTTTCTTCGTTGTATTGTGAAGCTGTTTCATATTTCCTTCTCTAGCAGCTTTTTCTGCCGTCGTTGCTAGTTCTTCTACGTATTTCTTCTTGTCGGCTCTAATGCTCCTCTTCACTTGTTTGTTTGCTTCTATGTATTCAGCTTGTGCTTGGACTTTCTCTGCTCGTGTTCGGCTGTTGTTTATCGCTGCCTTCTTGTTCTTCCTTTCTTTGATCTTGTCCAGTGTTTCTGTAGAGATCCATTCCTTATGATGGTATTTCTTTAGACCGAGAACCTCTTGACACGTTGAAGTTAATGCTTCCTTGATGCCTTTCCAGTTGTCCTCCATAGTAGTTTCTTCTTCTTTCAGTAGATCTTGTAAGGCTTGGAACCTGTTGTTGAGAGCTATCTTGAATTCATTGAGTTTGTCAGTATCCCGAAGGAATGCTGTATTGAACCTTTGTATTGCTGTTTGTCCACTTGTCCAGTTCTTTTTTAGCTTCAGTTTTAAATTGGCTACAACTAGGTGGTGATTTGAAGCTATGTCAGCACCTCTCCTGGTTTTCACATCTTCCATTGTCCTTCGGAATTTTTTGTTGATGCAAATATGATCTATTTGGTTCTCTGTAGTGTGGTCCGGTGAGATCCATGTAGCCTTGTGTATACGCTTGTGTGGAAATATTGTGCCTCCTATGACCAATTTGTTGAATGCACATAGATTTGCAAATCTTTCTCCATTTTCGTTTTTTTCCCCCAGTCCATGTCGTCCCATAATATCTTCATATCCAGTGTTGTCTATTCCGACTTTGGCATTTAGATCTCCCATCAGAATAGTTAGGTCCTTTCTTTAGCATTTCTCAATGATTGACTGCAGCCGCTCGTAGAACTGATCTTTAATTTCGTCGTTGCTATCATTGGTGGGTGCATAACATTGGATAATATTCATTAAGATCCCCTCCTTCTTTGTTTTGAATGATGCTTTGATGATTCTGAATCCATGAGATTCCCATCCTACAAGTGCATTTCGTGCTACTTTGGACAGCATAAGAGCGACTCCCTGAGTGTGTGGAGCATTGTCTTCTTCGTGACCGGAGTATAGCAGCATCTCTCCCGTAGCTAGCCTTTTCTGTCCAGCTTGGGTCCAGTGGGTTTCGCTGATTCCCAGTACTGCTAAGTTGTATCTCCTCATTTCCATTGATATTTGACTGGTCTTCCCGGTTTTCCACATTGTTCGAACGTTCCATGTACCTATAGAAATTTTCGCTCTGGTTGTTAGAAGGGGCATCGGCCTCGTGGCTTCCGAAGGAACTCGGCTTTCGCCATGAAGCGTCATAATTCTTCTAAATGAAGATCTTCTAACTCCCAGGGCAGAGTTAAAATGGTTTGGATTATTTTTTCTGGTAAGCGTTTTTTAGCGAGTTAGTTTTCTACGGGATGGGGACGCTAACCCTGTTATATCCGGTGAAGATTAAACTACAGGTAAATTTCAAGGACTATTCATGGACTAATATTCTATAAATATTCTTATTGTATAACTACTCAACAATTACACTATGTATATTCATATTCCTTTTATGATAAGCTTTATTTTGACCTATAATTTATTATTGTACGATTTACTGTTCTTAAACTAGGTTCAGTTTATTAACTACTGCCTCCCACATTCACAGCCACTTTTTGGGCTTATTTGTGTACAAATATTATTTCCTATTTTATGGTACGTTGCGGTCTGTCTGATTGATAATATAAACCAAGTATGCCTGAAATAAACGATTCGATTCATATTACGGAAGCTGGTATCTTGTTCTGGACTCAAGTGGAGGGGTTAGGAGGACATAGGACCAATAAAGACGCTAGACTGCTCATACCGGTTGAACGTCATTGGTTTGGCATAGTGCGAAGATTGTGTAAGCCGGATCCTGATTGGTTGATAGGTCCCGTGATAGAAAAGTCAGACATCCAAGGTCATAACAAACCCCATGCCCAACCCCCCTCCTTTACCCGGGCTTGGGACCGGCAGCAACCCTATAAGAGCTACAGGCGGAGTTTGTCCATGAACAGCTGCGAAGAAAATATCTTCTTAAACGTACTCAAAAATTTGGCGAGAATACGTTGATGATATATTCGTGGTATTAAAACGTGAAATATACTACTCATTTTCGGATAAACTAAACAATGAGTCATCCAGTATTAAATTTACTTTAGAAGCAAACTGAGATATATTAGTTTTTCTAGACTGCCTACTTAGTTGGAAAGAAAATAAATATTTTGATATGACTATTTTCAGGAGGACAACACATTCGATTAAATATTTAGATTTTAATTTTTCACACTCCATCAGCAGTGCAACGGTATTAGCTGTCGTCAGTATTTTGAGAAGAGCTCGCACATCGATAACAAACAAAGAAGAAAGGGGAACATAACTATAATTTTTAAAAACAGAAATACCTAACCGAGAAATTTTGTCCACAAAATAGAGAATAATATTTAACGTGATCGAAAAAGCACTCCAAAATCATGGACTACAATAATCGTGACTCTTTATGGATTACATATATCAGATGAGATTAAAAGAGTATTCAACAAATACAATATCAGATTATTATCTGGAATCTCTGAAACACTACAAAGCAACTTAGTTTATATAAAGGATAAAATACTGAAGGATTCAAAATTTATTTGTGTCTACAAGATAAAATACCCACATTGTTACGGAATATAAATCGGACAACATTTTATGGAAATCAAAGTCAGGAGAAATGAGCATCGCACAGATTCTGTTCAACTACTAAGAAATTCGATACAGCTTAGAAAATTTGGAAGATCTTCAGACGTAGGTCTAGACACTATAATATTAAGCCACAAAATTGACTGATAATTTTGAAATCATTTAGAAAGACTTTTAAGATCACAAAGAATATCTCATAACAAAAATGAGGGGTGGAGACAAATTTCGCTTGGTTCCAACAGCACCACCCTTCCTCGAACTAACACTGTCAGCACAAACTTGACAATAAAAGTTGTTTATCATAAAAACATGTTATTTTTACGATTCAAACTATTATCAAATGTAACAATCTACACCTGTCTGTTATTGTTATCAATTTATTAACTCGACATCTCGAAATTAACTTATCTAGAAGAACTTTGATTAAGTTATCAAACATAAGCTGATAATCGTGTAAGTTCTGGTTCACCGTTACGTTAATAAAATTATCAGCACTAAAAAGCGAAATGTCAATGAAAACATATTTCAGTCTTTGGAAAAACTTTCTTATAATGATGGGTGCTATTCTGTGTTGTGAGCTCTACTACTACTTTATTGAGAGAAAGTAGGCAAATACTAATATAGAAAAATAAAGTGGTTTTTTAAAAGTAGCCCATAAAAGACCATATACGTTGCGTAAAAGTCGCATTTTCGATTGTGCAGCAAATTTTGTTGCATAAGATTTGTGAATAGACAATGAATACAACAACATTCATGGTAGTCAGAGACTCAATATTTATCATTTTAAACATTTTAATAAACTGATCATAGTTTAAGTATATGATGGTTAAACGTTTCATTGATTTCCACCTATTCACTTATTTAATTGGAATAACACGTTAACAGTGATGAAAATGGACTTCATAGTGAAGCTGTCATACGTTATTGGTGGAGTTTTGTTCTCTGAGCTGGATGGTTTGGTCGTGGAGCTTTCATCGTTCTTTTGAACGACATCATCAGCACAAACTTCAGATAGAAGTGAAGTGTTTGAATTTCTCTAAATGTGTCTCAAAGCTTGTTCTGTGCACCTCGACGTTGATTGGTCAAACGGCATGATATCTCTTCACTTATATCAATACACGTGGACAACTGCGGACACTCATTCGATTGGAAAAATGTGGAAATCTTAAACAGAGGAAACTCCAAAAACACCAGAGAATTTTTAGAAGCCTGGCACTCAGGTCAATCAGCAATCAATAAGCATATTGAAATCAATCCAATTTATCAAGCAATCAGAAAAATCATGCACAAACATAAGAACAAAAATCAAAACGATGGGAGACAACCAAAACAAAGAAGTAAACAACGACAAATTTAAGGTCAATAAGAACCAATCAACGTCGAGGCGCACAGAACAAGCTTTGAGACACATATGGAGAAATTCAAACACTTCACTTCTATCTGAAGTTTGTGCTGATGATGTCGTTCAGAAGAACGAAGAAAGCTCCACGACCAAACCATCAAGCTCAGAGAACAAAACTCCACCAAAATCATCCACCTGAGCTACAAATCTTCTCCACCAGCTGTCATACGTACTTAAAATTGTGATGAAATGAAAAACAAACCACCACACTAAATGTATAAGCAGCAATTGTTGCACAAATGCTTCATTATAAGGCTATCACAGCAACGTAGAACCTATCATATTAATGCAACGATCCAAGTCGCGACATATTATTGCAGTAAAGTGAAATTATCAAGATGCAAACCTAAGTAAGAGTAGAAGCACCATAGATTAAAAAAAGATTAGGGATAGAGAGTATGACGTGAAAATAAAAATTTAGTTCGGATAAAAATATGTGAAGTTATTTTGGGATTCAGGAACTAAAAGAAGATAATTAGTGAGTGCATCTGAGCTAGGTCACCCAACGTCTCCAATCAATTGTTACGATAAAGACGAGACCTGTTTAAACTTGTCACCGATTTCCAAAAATTTCCATGAACCTTCTTTTCTTATATTTGTTTTGACTGGCTAATTGTTTATGTTCATGATTTTTATAAAGACTTACTGAAAAGCTAACTACTCCAATATTTAAACTAAATCATCGCGGTGGAAGGTATATTTTCCAACACATCGTTCCAATATGTAAATGGTATCATACTTTTTGGAAGTCCTGGACATCAGTTTCTTATGACCTTCAATTTTTACGTTAGCCACAAAAGTAGGATCAATAATAAATTCAACCAATCTGAGTAGGCCCATTTTATCAGTATCCCAAGAAAGAGAAGCAAAGGAAAGGATTTGATATCAATTGAAACAGAGGTCTAAAACTGTTTCCATTCTCTTAGGTCTTTACTGATACTGCATTTTTATTATCCTTTATTACCTTTATTCTTGACACTTTTTGTTCTTGCTCGAGTTGAAGTCACTTGAAGCAATAAAAAACGCGACAGATCTTACATTACTATGCCTAGATACTACTATTTGATGACAACATACATATACGTGTTAAAACCAACTTTTAAATGGTTTGGCCGGTTTTGAACCATTTATTCTAGAGTTTAAAATTATACTGATCTTTTCAAGGAAACAATGTGGTTGAGTGGTAAAAAAACATGCATCCCTTTAAACAAATAACAATGTGAAATTTTAAAAACTGAGAAAATGTTAATAGTTAAAACTTGCCTAGAGAAACTTTTCTGCTCTCCAGTGCGTGAAGTTTATTGCGTGCTAGTGATATCGAGTATTTGAGTGTTTCTGTGCGTTGCTTGACAGAGTCGATTGCAATAGCTAATCTTTCAGTAGCTACACCCTTAAAATTTCGAATAAACCGGTAGAAACTGGTTAAGAAGATTAATGCTTTACCACAATTTTGACCATCAATTTCAATCTATACAGAACTAATTGGGGACAGCGTAATGCTGTGAGGGATAGAAATAAAAACCAGTAACAGTTAAATTACGTTGGTTTATTAAAACTTCTAATCCCGAGAAATAAATGGGATCTGATATGCATTTGCCTTGTTTTTTACTTAACATTTCGAAGGTGATTTTCATGACAAACAGGTGATTTTGATGACCACTGGGAGCAGGGCAGCGATAAGAGACTCCATTCAAACCACGTGACTTAGGCTATTACCACCACCATTCTCCGAAAAATGAAAACCAGCAACATATTTCGTAGAGCCCTCTATTAATACACCTAAGTCACTAAGTTGAACTTTGATAGTTATGAATAAGCACTAATTTCAATTATTGATAATATATTTTTACTCTTTTTTTGCTTGACAAAATACCGCAACTTACAAGAGTCGGAAACTAATTTCCAAAAGTAAACGCATATTTGTTTAGCTAATTTGGCATAAATGGATATTTATTTTATTTGTACATACGTCGCTTGGATCTGATATTAGTTACACAACCAACTGTATTGGGAAATAGGCTCTACGTTAAGAAAATTATTCATCTGAAATTTAATGCATTAATAGCAAGCGTACACTCAATAACTGCATAAATGATTCCCGGAATATAGAAATTATTAATAGTAAGTGAATTCTAGTCACTTCCAAATTGTTTTGTAGAAAACATTATTCACTGAGCTATTGGACTACGGTGGTTGGAACCAACTTATCTATAAGGATGTTGAAAATAAAAAAATCACATGTTAGAAAGGCAAATGTGCAGAACATGATTGAATCTAAATGTATGAAATTAGTACAAAGGCAATTCGATGATAACAGCATTCCAATCCTAATTAGAAACAAGCCGAATTTTAGGCACAACACGAAATTGCTAGGTGAGGCCAAACTACTTCCAAAAATCTGACTCATCGGTGAATTAGATCGCTACAAAAGCAAAAACACTTACTTGACTAAATAAATTATGTAGTGATAATTGCAAACCACCAGCAAGATTTTGCATGTATCTGATACGTTCTAACTGAACCTTAGAAGCCTCCTTGTTGGCTAAAAACCTGAGATCATTATCAGCATTTACGACCAAAAAATTACCTTTGAAGCGTGGTAAGGTCGTAAGATAACTTGGAGGCAGGAAGGGATTTACCTTTAGGCCACTAGAAACCAATTATTTAATAACGATGCTACCAGATGAGGACAGATTATGCCTGGGTCGAAGTGTTTGCGGAAAGAATAAATATGTCTTCCCATTTGGAAGTAAACCTGATCTGTTGAGTCAGAGACACACATATTTTCACGCATCTAAAAAACAATTAGATAAATTATTGCGTACTTCTGAGTTCGTAGGAACGAGGCCGGAAAAATGTACTACAATCTCAAACAGAATTGAGTTGCTTTCTCTATGTGATAGAAAAAAAGTAAACAAGACGGCTGGTACTGATATTTCAAAAATCAATTCCAAACCTTTGGATGATAAGTATTGTTTAGGAAGATTATGAATTTCAACGGGATCCCATTCTGGATTCTGAAAAGAAATGTTGCTGAGAAAAGATATGCTACTTTGAGATCACAGGCAACATCACTGACGTAGTAGTCTGCAAATAAGATTCCTTTTAGAAAAATACCTTACATCCAATGTTATCTTGATTAACGGAACTTAGGGCAAAAGTCACTCCTACAGTTTCACTGGACTCTTCGTCAGAAACACTAAAATTTCGTCCATATACAGCTCGGAGATGCCTCAGCCGCAACTAAAATACGTTATTAGAATACAATTAAAAACCGTACGATGATAGAAGACATTGTAATCACCACCAATGCATCATAGCTTTAGACCTTGAAACGTAGCGTCCACGTTCGGATTTCTGTCTCAACAGTTAATATTGCTACACCAAGTCGGTATCTACCATATGAAAGTTATTTTGGTATCTCATTTCAGGTGCGAAATTACAGAAAACGGTAGTATGCGAAGAGGTCAATGTAGGTAGTTTTATTATTTATTATTAGTGACTCCAGTGGAATTTTATCGGTTGGATTCTTTCGAAAGCCCTCATTTTTGTCCTTAAAATATAGCCTTGATAAAACTAGAAGCTTATGAGGCTGACGACAGAAGTTTGGTGATCAGGTTGTGAAAACTTAGTTGGCCACTATTTTTTCGAAACTCTACTATGATATGTGCTCTAAACGTTTAGACCTATTCCTATTATCTCATTGTACAACGCAGGATGATATTATATCGGCATTCCGTATCTTAAATGATATTCTGGATATAGCCAATCCATATCTTCTGCCCTATTCAGTTTCTGAAACCCTAATTTAAACAAACTTGAGGTGGGATATAGTTTTTCTTATCGAGTGGTTAGTGACTGAAACGCCACATCCAAACAAGTGGTATCTACCTTATCAGTAAACATTTCCAGGGAGAAGTTTGAGTTTCAGTGAAAATGCTACAGAAATTAACACATGTCAAACGACCTACCATGTTGTGGACAAACACTGAAGACTAAAAGCCATCTGAAACTTACGATTCTAGGCACATAGTATGTCATTTTAAAATATAAGAAAACCAGTGAAGTAAATTTTCACTAGCTCCGTTAATTTCAGCGGTCTTTACAGATATCCAAGTTTATAAGTTACTAATCGAGAACCAGTAAACTTGGACGTTCCATGTTCCTTGTTTTTACCTGATAAAAAGTTATAATTCTTACAAAAATTCACATAACCAACTGCGGAATTTAACCTAATAAAGGGAAACCAGCAACCTTAATTAACTGATGAGAAATCAGACAGAGATATTGTGAAAAGATGATGGATAGTATGTCTCAAGAATGTCTCAAGAATCTGTGTGTCTGTGTATTTTTTTCCCCACAAGGAAGACAACAGCGCGTGGTGGGATTGATTTTTAAATGCGATATATTGTCATTGTGTTCCAGTACAAATTACCGTCACTAGTTATTATACATGGACAAATATCGATGCGGATGATATCCTTTGGTATAACAACGCTATTCACCTCAATTGAACCAAGGTTAGCAAAAGAAACTCTATCTTTGCTTCTCACTAATGACATAAATTTAGCAAAGTAAACGAAGCTTCAAATTCAAAGTTTACCAGAACTCATCGATTTATTTTTACCGACATACTTTCAATTCAACAACAAAATCTACGAAAAGACAAAAGAGACACCGATGGGATCACGAATATCAGGACTTATTGCAGAAGCAGTGATGCAGGGACTAAAAGCCGCGATATCACTAGTGATCAAGGCAAAAATTTGGATTCGTTATGTGGACGACACATTCGTCATCGTCAAAAAGGAGCTGAAAAACACCTACAGGCTGATGAACAACGTCTTCAACGACATTAATTTCACAATACAACAGGAGTCAAACGACAGACTATCATTCTTGGACATATTCACTAGAACCGACACAGGCAAACTGGAGACTCAATTGTAGAGGAAACCGACCCATATAGATCAAACCCTAAACTATAATAGTAACAAACCAAGAGCTCACAAATCCAACTGCGTATAAACCTTGTTCAAGGGGGTGAGGGCACACTGCAACACAATTACAGCACGAAAAAATGAGGGAAAATGCTCGAAGATCATCCTTTAAAAGAACGGCTACCCAATCAACCCAATCAAACTAAACTCGGTCGATAAGGGACACTCACTACCACCCTAAAAAGTCAAAAGGACTGCACAATCGGCTGCCTGCTACCAGCGGTCTTGCATCTATGAAACCTGTTACCAATCAATTGGTTAAGACAACAGAAAATAACATCAGCACCAAGTTACTGTGAGTTCCTTCCTGTTTATCCTATATTAACGTTTTACTCTTCTGTACACTATGTTGACTAGCAATTAATATTATTTCTCCACTCGTTCTCTTATCCACAACTCATATACTTCTATACTTTTTCCGCCTGCTTAAGTAAACAACTATCCTACAATATACCCTATTTAACGCTTATACTCTGATTGGCAAACTATACTTTATACTATAGTCAACAGAGGCATTGCATCGATGCTTTACCCACAGTCCATAGCTTGTAACTGCCTAATACGCTTGTAAAATGGTACTTATAGGAAGTGCTTTCCAACAGGTTGTGAAACACAGAGAATTGTGTGAGATATGACGTATATACAAAAATAAGCCTAAATGAGCCTAACATCACAAAAGGAGGGAGGGTGGAGTTACTGACCAGCAAGCATTGATGGTGAGGGCGATAACTTCAAACCACCCGTGTTTGTGGGGACAGAACATTTTGTATGTATCAGGCTCTTTATAATTGAGAATAAGACAGTCAATCTAAGATATAGATTGTCTTCCTACGCTCACCATTCAGACTCATGTTTCCAATATTATGCTGGATTAGCTATTCTACTAAGACAACCTATAACATGCTAACTCGGACTTTTACACTAGGATTGCGTGGCTGACATCGGATGGACAAAAAAGAAAAGAAAAAAGACAATAAAAGATATAGTCACTAGTATTCTTAACACTTCACCCTCTATATACACACTTTTCTAATAAACCGCTTCCCTTGTACCAACCTTGACTTCCCTTCCTTCATGTGAGCTTACTCCAACTTGTTAAACATCACAACTCATTGTTCTTTATTAGTAAATTATCTAATATGGAGCCTCTGACTTCACTTCATTCTAACAAGACATAATATGAATTTATTCTAATTTATTATACCTCTGTCCGTTCTACTACACAATGTTAAGCAACCTTTGGCGTTCATATCCAAGTGCCTTGCTGCTCCTCTGTTCCTCTTTTTTTCTTTTTCAGAATCTTACTCTGAGAGCACAGCTATGAAACTTCTGACGTTTGGAGCAAACTTGACGTACGCGTCCTCTCAAGGTCATAGTTTACAGCAAGCGCTCTACGATTTCACTTTATAACAACTATAAACTTAATAAGTTGGGAAGCATTTAGCGAACCGACAAATGTTGTAATTAATAGATCATGCCTGTAAAAACGGTGTGTACCTGCACATGCAGAAATATATTATTATTATTATTATTGTTATCATCAAAAAATACCGGCCGCGCACATCAACAGAAACCAAATGCAAGCTCAAAAATCAACAAAAGGACCACCCTACCATACATAAAAGGCATATCAGAAACGACAACAAGACTGCTGAAAACCTTCGGAATACTTGTTGTGCACAAACCAACAAAACCCCTACAATCAGTACTATGCAAACCAAAAGATGAAATAGCAAAAGAAGACAAAACAACCATCATCTACAAAATAATGTGTACCAACTGCGGAAAACACTAAATCGGACAAAGCGGACGCCCGCATTATCTTCGCCTGCATAAACATCAATTAGCAGTCAAGCACCATGACATGTCCTTGTAGTGGCATTGGACCGTGACCACACAATTTTCAAAGCTGAACACAAGACAACTCGGAAAACAGATATACAATATTTAGCGCGGAGAAATACCTAACGATGGAAAAGGTGGGAACAGTTAGTTGAATGAATTGGAGTTGATCGAATGGCATGGCTCGGCCATGCAGGCGTGGTCTCTGCTGAATGTTACCTTATATCTTCTATTCATATTAAATATATTGTTGTCTCTCTAGCCTAACCACAAGCATGCTTTATCTTCTATTCAAAAAGATTCGGGAGGAGGAACAAGTGCCGATGGACTGAAAAAAAGGACACCTTGTCAAGATTCCAAAGAAAGGAGATCTGAGCAAATGCGAAAACTACAGAGGCATTACGCTACTGTCAATACCAGGGAAAGTCTTCAACAGATTGTTGCTGAACCGGATGAAGGATGCAGTAGACGCCCAACTTCGAGGTCAATAAGCTGTATTCCGTAAGGATCGGTCGTGCACAGACCAAATTGCAACACTACGGATCATCGTCGAACAATCAGTTGAGTGGAACTCATCACTATACATCAACTTCATTGATTATGAAAAAGCATTCGACAGTGTAGATAGGAGGACATTATGGAAACTTCTTCGACACTACGGAGTTCCTGAGAAGATTGTCAATATTATCCGGAACTCATATGACGGACTACAGTGCAAAGTAGTGCATGGAGGACAGCTGACAGATGCATTCCAAGTAAGGACCGGAGTCAGACAAGGCTGTTTACTCTCTCCCTTCCTCTTTCTTCTGGTGGTCGACTGGATTATGAAGACCTCAACATCTGAAGGAAAACACGGAATACAATGGACAGCTCAGAACCAATTAGACGATCTGGACTTCGCAGATGACCTAGCCCTCCTATCACGTACACACGAACAGATGCAGATGAAGACAGCCAGTGTAGCAACAGTCTCTGCATCAGTAGGCCTCAGCATACACAAAGGAAAAACTAAGGTCCTCAAATTCAAAGCGGAGAACAGCAATCCAATCACACTTGATGGCGAAACTCTGGAAGATGTAGAGTCCTTCACATACCTGGGAAGCATCATCGATGAACAAGGAGGATCCGATGCAGACGTAAAGGCTAGGATCGGCAAAGCAAGGGTCGCATTCCTACAATTGAAGAACATATGGAACTCAAAACAACTTTAAACCAATATCAAAGTGAGAATCTTCAATACGAACGTCAAGGCAGTTCTACTGTATGGAGCTGAAACTTGGAGAACTACAACAACCACAATCAAGAAAGTACAAGTATTTATAAATAGCTGTCTACGCAAGATACTCAACATCCATTGGCCGGATACCATCAGCAATAGCCTTCTGTGGGAGAGAACAAACCAACTTCCAGCTGAAGAAGAAATTAGGAAAAGACGATGGAAATGGATAGGACATACATTACGCAAATCGTCGAACTGGATCACGAGGCAAGCCCTAACTTGGAATCCTGAAGGGAAGCGAAACAGAGAAAGGCCAAAGAACACATTACGT